ATTTGCTTAGACAATTAAAAATTGCAATGTCACACTGCACTGATGATGACCAGCAAACTCCAAGCAGCTTTGCACAGTCTGACATAGTCATAGATTTGCATGGCTCCTCCTACTTCCCAAAATGTTTTGGGATTATGATGGAAGTGAGACATGTAGGTTGTGTTTTAAGGAGCTTCTGCTTCTCAGATCCAAATGTAACAAGTCTGCATAAATAAATTCCTGATGTCACAAAATATACCAGTCGCTCCACCTTTAATCATTAGTCGTCCTCAGGGTTCCGTCGGTGACTTTGTCTAGGCTGTGAGGATGTCATCAGTTTCACCCAATAAAGTGCAGTGCTGCTCTAAAGTTATACCAATATAGATTAACAATCCAACAAAGAACTGTCCAGTCTGCTGCAGGCAGAAGGAAATATTTCCTCAGTCTCCTCTCCCCACAGTGATCGGACTGCAACATTGTAAGTTTCAAGTCACAAGATGTGAAACTGCAGCAGGGGCTGATTTGTGTCAGACAGTTCTGAAAACAGCCAAGAACTGTACAGGCTGCAACATTTACATAATTGTATCATCACTCAGCTGACATCTCAGCCCAGGACGTAGATGGTGAACCTGTTGATACCTGAACAAGGGTGGTGCCGTCCATTCTGATAGAGAGGGAGATGAAGACTGTCGGGGGGGGGGGGGGGGCAGGGAGAGCTGTGATTGCCACCTTTGGGTTACACAGATTCTTTACTTGGAATATTTGCATCTCAAATGAAAAACTCTGATGAGTAACAGGTCCATAATAGGGCTAGGAACACATTGGTGATTTTCAGTAGTGCAGTCTTGCTATGAAAATTGCTAAAAGTAGTGTTTAAGTGGTTGTAAACCTTACATATACCCAGTGTGAAGTGACTGGCCTCAGGTAATACACAGAAATGAAACAAATCCTATATAAGTTGTACCTTTTTATCTGCAGTCTTCTCTACAGCCATTCAAAGTGCTGAATTTATAATGCTTGTCTGAGCATTCACAAAAAAAAGGGGCGGAGAGCTGAAATTACACACTGCACAGCTCAGTGAGGAGAACGTTGAGAGCTGATAAGAGGGAAGAGACCCCAGCCCCCCCCCTCCATCTAGCACATGCTGATAAGAGGGAAGAGACCCCAGCCCCCCCCCCCCCCATCTAGCACACGCTAAGAGGGAAGAGACCCCAGCCCCCCCCCCCCTCCCATCTAGCACACACTGATAAGAGGAAAGAGACCCCAGCCCCCCCCCCTCCATCTAGCATACACTGATAAGAGGGAAGAGACCCCAGCCCCCCCCCCTCCATCTAGCACACGCTGATAAGAGTGAAGAGACCCCAGCCCCCCCCCCCCTCCATCTAGCACACGCTAAGAGGGAAGAGACCCAACTCCCCCCCCTCCTCCATCTAGCACACGCTAATAAGAGGGAGGAGACTCTGATTCCCCCCCCCCTCCATATAGCACACGCTAATAAGAGGGAAGAGACCCCAATCCCCCCCCCCTCCATATAGCACACGCTAATAAGAGGGAAGAGACCCCCAACCCCCCCCCCATCCTCCATCTAGCACACGCTAATAAGAGGGAGGAGACTCTGATCCCCCCCCCCTCCATATAGCACACGCTAATAAGAGGGAAGAGACCCCAACCCCCCTCTCCTCCATATATTACACGCTAACAAGAGGGAAGAGACCCCAACTCCCCCTCCCCCCCCCCCCATATAGTACACAGGAAATAGAGTGACATCCCTGAGTCTATATGCCTCACTACGCAATGCAGGCAGATCATGGCTGGTGGGAGGGGCCAGCAGGGTGTTGTACATAGCTTTCTGAAAACATCACAGCACCCTGCCTCAGTACTCCTCTTAAGAGCCATCAGACCTGATACAAGCAGTGGGAGGAGTTATGCAAATATAAAATACCCTGCTGGGTAGTTGTCAGTCTGGAGGAGCGGGCTGTTCCTAGGCAGGCTGTATTTGCCTGCAGACCACTCTAGGTAACACCTACATGTGATGCTGAGGCTCCACAATTAAAAGAACTGAAATCTAATGAATAAAGAGGGCAGGGATGGGGAGGAAAGTGCTTAGATGATGCTGGATGTCCTCCAGCCAGGAATGAGGCGGGTTCTCTCTGACTTGTTGCATCTTCTAATGAAAGTGAGAAGCCACAGTGTGCAGTGAAATCAGAGTAAGACATTTCAGTCCAGGAGAGGAGCTGGTACACTGTGCAAGACTTAGGGAAGGCATTAGGTGTGCTCCCTGTAGGGTGAGGTAAGTATCATGTAGTAATAATTAATCTGGCCATACACTATACAATTTTCTTACAATTTTCTGCCCCATTTCCTTTAGATTTACCTTCAAAGTGCTGAATTTATAATGCTTGACTGAGCATTCACAAAAAAAAAGGGGCGGAGAGCTGAACTTGCACACTGCACATCTTAGTGAGAAGAACGTAGTGCAAAGGCCTGCCTAATTGGATACAATTGAAAGTGTTAAGGTTTGACCTCCTATTATATGGCTTTTGGTAAATCTAAAGCAAAGTTTAAAGAAAATTGTATAATGTGTGGCCAGCCTTTGTCTCGAACGATTGCTGATTGGTTAAACTGTGTGCAGCTATGTGCTACATTCATTGTATAGGGAGCAGTTTTCTCCATGTGTGGAATGATTGATCCCTACTATTACTCATTAATCATGCCGCTCCTGTTCTCCTGGGAGAAGATCAAAACTATTGAGGAGTTGTTAGGATTTTTTTTTTTTTTCGTATTGCACATCCTGAGCTGCCATGACCCTGGGATTATTTTCAAAGGGAAGCACGGAGTGGTCAGCCCATTGCAGAGGCCGGTGTGGTGTGACTGAAGTGTCCTCTATTATTCTGTACCCGCAGGGAGGGGAGGCGGAGGAGGTCCTGTCTCTGCACTCAGCAGGCTGCAATCCTGGATCTGCTAAGCTGACAAATATGGAGGATTATTCCCTGGGGGGAGGCGAAGGCTGCTACTCGCCCAGCCTGGTGGATTGCTCAGCCGGGAGGCTGAAGAACTGCGGTGAAGAATGGGTGAGTGAAATCCATCATCTGTCCCACCGCCGGTAATGGCTGGCAAAGTTTTCCTGTGTGCTCATTGATGATCCAGCTCCAACTTTATACAGTGTGCCGTGCGTCCTGCTACATCCCTGCTGTCCGCGCCCAATTGCATGTTTGTTCAGTAAACATGAATTTTTATTTCTCTTACAACTATAAATAAACATTTATTTAAATAATCGTTTTTACATTTCTTATTTTCTTTAAATAATATTTTGAATAGTAAATACGTTTCTCAAATAGTAATGTTTATTTATTTCAGGTACTTATATAGCGCCTTAATTTACGCAGCGCTTTACTTATATATATATATATAGTACAGTCACATCAGTCCCTAACCCTCAAGGAGCGTACAATCTAAGGTCCCTAACTCACATTCATACATACACATATTAGGGACAATTTAGACAGGATACGACTAACCTACCAGCAGGGGCGGACTGACCATTTGGAAACTCAGGCACTGCCCGAGGACCCGGGGTCAGTAGGGGGCCCCATGAGATGCCCCTGGTACCTTTTTCATAGGCTTTTTTGAGTTTGGGCAAGGACACAGGGGCCCCATGATCCCCTATTGCCCAGGGGCCCCATGAGTTGTAAGTCCACCCCTGCCTACCAGCATGTAATGTCTTTTGGCTTCACCTATTGGGATTTAATGTAGATAAATGTAAACATTGTTAATTCAGTTCCTCAAATAATCTGCGTTTTATTTGTTTTTATGTGTTATGCACACATCGTTATTTAAAAAAAAAAAAAAAATTACATCAATGTGTTATGTAAACATGATTTTAATTCTCTAGGTTTAATTAAATATTTTATTACAATTTCTCAGTATTATTTTGAAATATATTTCTAATTGTGACAAACTTTTCTGAATAGGAGCTCGTTCTGGTTTTCCCTATTGAGATTTAATATAGATAAATGTTTGTATGTCATGTGAACATTAGGGTTGCAAATCCCCAAATAAACAGTATTTAAATAAATATTATTTTTTTATTATTTATTGTTGATTAATTTTTTTGTGTAAACAATTTAATTCTGATTTTCCCTATTTGAAATGTAAAGTAGAGGAATGTTTATTAGGTTGCATTTAAACATTTATGATTTTTCTTAAAGTAAGCATTGTGTAGATGCAAAAATAAATAATAAAAAAAAATATATATATTTTTATTTTTTCATTTTACAATATTATATCCAAAATATTATGTGACATGTTATTACACTACGTTTTCTACAGAGAAATTTGTTTGTGGTGGTTTTGGATAGAATTGAGAGGGGTTTAAAGCTTTAATTATACAGATTAGTATTCATTTTTAAAATTGTGTTAGTGTGTGTGCGTGTATATATACATTTTTAATTTTAAATGTCTAAAGGTAAGTTTGTTCTGGTAGTTATGGATAGAGGAGGATTTCTTTTTTTGTTGTCTGTCCTGCTGGGGAAATTTCCCTTCATTTTCTGTCCTGGAAATGAGAAGAAATCTCAAAGTGAAGAGAATTTCCAGCTTAGAGCAGTGGTTCTCAACCTTCCTAATGCCGTGACCCTTTAATACAGTTCCTCATGTTTGTGGTGACCCCCAACCATAAAATTATTTATCCAGTTAATTATAAATTCATGAAGTGTCGTTTTACCTCCAATACTGCTGCTTTCAACACAGTAGCTGCTTTTAACAGAGTAGCTGCTTTCTACACAGTAGCTGCTCTTTACACATCGGAAATATGTGTTTTCCGATGGTCTTAGGGGACCCCTGTGAAAGGGTCATTCAACCCCCAAAGGGTTGTCGCGACCCACAGGTTGAGACCCACTGGCTTAGAGAATTGTAAAAGGGACATTTGTCCCCATTGAAGGATTTCCCTCACCTGTTGCTCTAATGACAATTGTAAAACTTTGGATTTCCCTCACTTTCTTGGTGACCATTTTCAGGGTGAGAGGATGTCTGGCCCGGCTGTCTTCAAGTCCACCACACTCAAATGGAAAGAGACCCTTCTGAGCCGGAAGAGGCCCTTTGTTGGTCGATGTTGTTATGTCTGCACCCCTCAGAGCCGGGTAAGAGGGCCGAGACAGATCATTATTCCATATATCATCCCCCATACAGTCCTATCATGATACCATATCATCCCCCCCATACAGTCCTATCATTATCCCATATCATCCCCCCCATACAGTCCTATCATTATCCCATATCATCCCCCCCATACAGTCCTATCATTATCCCATATCATCCCTCCCATACAGTCCTATCATTATCCTATATCATCCCTCCCCATACAGTCCTATCATTATCCCATATCATCCCCCCCATACAGTCCTATAATTATTCCATATCATCCCCCCATACAGTCCTGTCATCGCATATCATCCCCCCATACAGTCCTGTCATCGCATATCATCCCCCCATACAGTCCTGTCATCCCAAATCATCCCATCATACAGTCCTGTCATCCCATATCATCCCCCCCATACAGTCATATCATTATCATATCCTATATTATCACCCCATCCCCCCCATTACAGCCCTATCTTTCTACAGTCCTATATCATCCCCCCCCCATACAGTCCTATCATTCTCCCATATCATCATCCCCCCCCATACAGTCCTATCATTATCCCATATCATCCCCCCCATACAGTCCTATCATTATCCCATATCATCCCCCCCATACAGTCCTATCATTATCCCATATCATCCCCCCCATACAGTCCTATCATTATCCTATATCATCCCCCCCATACAGTCCTATCATTATCCCCCATATCATCCCCCATACAGTCCTATCATTATCCCATATCATCCCCCCATACAGTCCTATCATTATCCCATATCATCCCCCCCATACAGTCCTATCATTATCCCATATCATCCCCCATACAGTCCTATCATTATCCCATATCATCCCCCCCATACAGTCATATCATTCTCGCACATCATCCCCTTGAAATACAATTTATTTCAAATAAAAGTGCTCATTGGTTTTGTCTTGTTGCAGGATAAATTCTACAACCCCAGCATCCCCTCGTTAGGTCTGCGGAATGTCATCTACATCAATGAGACGCACACAAGGTGAGTGCCGTTCTGTACATAGCGGAAGTCCGAAAGCCTAAAAATACAAGAGTCTTTTTTTTTTTCTGAAGTAACAAACTTTCTATTCTTGTGCATATTGTCAAATCCCAAATCATCATGCTGATAGGAGGAGAGAGCAGAGTGACAGAGAGTTGAGCTCATTAGGCTGCTGCTTCTCTCCTTTTATTGCCCAGGGGAGAAGGACAAGATCTGTAAGTGTTACTGAACTGCAGCTAATAGAAAATTAGGTCTCCTGCCCTGCCACCCTGTGCTATACTAGGTTGCAGAGCTGTGTAAATCCCTGAACTGGATGGACAGATATACATATCCTTTGGCAGGTAAAACAGGCACCCTTTTGTATTTAGCTGTTGGCGTGGAGTTTAGCTTTAACTTCTTCCTGACCGCCCTATAGCCAAAAGACGGCTACAGTGTGGTCGGCTAGTTCTGGGAGAGCATCTATGGATGTCCTCCCAGAACCACATCCTCGTACGCCCCTGTGCGATCTGTGATCGCTGTATCCTTCAGACACAGCTGATCACATGTCCAAGTAGTTGGCCAATCAGATCCGCCTTTTACATGTGAACAGCGGTGTCCAATCACAGCTGATCACATGTAAACAGGAAATGCCGGTTATCGGTGGTCCTCTTCTAACACTAACAGTGTGTGAGGAGAGGGGAGCCGGTAAGCAGCATTTCTTAGGGGGACATCTACACTGATGATCAGTGTAGTTTCTTCAGTGCAGCCAAAAGTGCCCATCTGTGCTGGCTGTCAGTGCTCATCTGTGTTGGCTGTCATTAGTGCATCTGTGCTGGCTGTCAGTGCACATCTGTGCTGGCTGTCATTGCTCATCTGTGCTGGCTGTCAGTGCCCATCTGTGCTGGCTGTCAGTGCCCATTGCTCTGTCATTTGTGTGTGTCAGTGCTGTCCTTGCCCATCTGTGCTGGCTGTCCGTACCCATCTGTGCTGGCTGTCCGTGCCCGTCTGTGCTGGCTGTCCGTGCCCGTCTGTGCTGGCTGTCCGTGCCCCCATCTGTGCTGGCTGTCCGTGCCCGTCTGTGCTGGCTTTCTGTGCCCGTCTGTGCTGGCTGTCAGTGCCCATCTGTGCGTCCCATCAGTAATGGCTGTCAGTGCCCATTAGTGGGCTGCCGCCTATCAGTGCCACCTTATTGCCCATCAGTGCCGTCTATCAGTGCCACATATCAGCGTACATCAGTGAAGGAGAAAAATCATTTATTTACAAAACTTTTTAACAGAAACTAAGAACTTTTTTTTTTTTTTCTCAAACTTTTTGGTATTTTTTTTGTTTGTTTAGCAAAAAAAAATAAAAACTTCCATGGTGATTTAAATACTGCCAAAAGAAAGCTCTATTTGTGTGAAAAATAATGATAAAAGTTTCATATGGGTTCAGTGTTGCATGACCACACAATTGTCATTCAAAGTGTGACAGCACTGAAAGCTAAAAATTGTCCTGGGCAGGAAGGGGGTGAAAGTGCCCGGTAGGCAAGCGGTTTAAAGTGACACTCCAGGAAAATGTGCCCTGTGATTGGTCCAGAAAAGTTGTGTGCACAATAGTACTATTTTCCTGGAGTTCCAAAACCTGCATGGAGGAAGACCAGTTGCTCACTATATGCTCACTCAGCTCTAGCAATGCGGCGTTCCTGGAGCTTCCCACTGGCTGCTGATATCTTCTAGCGGCCAGTTTCATTTCCCAGGGAGATAGGGCGTCATTCCTGCGCATGCATGGGAGTAGTCAGATTTGACATTGCTGAACTTATGTAGTGAACTGCACGTGCACAGCTCACAGTACAGGGGCGGGCAGGCAGGTGGGTAATTTTTATTGCAGAAGAGATAAAGCATGTCTCTTCTGCATTACAAATCCTGCCTGTTCGCATTTGGTTTTTGCCTACTTTTGGATTTGGTTTTGTCCATAAAGTTCCCCTTTAGGACACAGAGCCTGCACTGGGATCTCCTTATATATGTAATCAACTAAACAAAAAAGGATGAGAAACCTGGAAATAATATAAAAGTTAAAGTTAAGTTGTCTTGGAGATAAATAACTCAACTAAACCATGTTAACTAAAAATATCCTATACTTTGCCTTTTAAGTGATGCTGTCCTGTCTTCTATATAATGTAGATCCCTCAGCTGTCTGGATATATTTCTGGATACATGGGGGGGCTACTTGTCTTACATGGCCTCCTCTTGTATCACCAAGCCAACGTTTAACCGTTACTTGATTCTGAGATTGTCATTGAACATGTCACACTAGGACTGGAACAAAGGATCATGTGAGCGTCTCATCTGTCATATTTAATCTTTCATGAATGCTCCAAATAGTGTGAATTTAAAGCTATGGTTCTGGGCTCTCACAGGGGCCCATGTTATCAGCTTCAGCTCTTATACCTGTACATCCCCCATAGACCAAAGTCAGTTTTACAGTCCTGCTATGGGCCTGTTTGTTATCTCAAATAATGACAAGCTTATTGCAGAATATATATAATAATATTCTATATATAATTGTATTGTATATAGAATATTTATCAATTTTTTTTAGGACAAACAAGGCTTTCTGTTGATGTTTTGCCAAATCGATTTTTTTTTTATACAATCTGTAGACAAAAATGTAACCACATTAAAAAAAAAAAGTGCACTCTTTTCTACATCAGTTTTTAAATAATAGCGGATAACATTTTTTTAATTATTCTTGTGCATGTCCCATTTACATGGTAATTATGATTCTGGTACAAAGCATTAAAAAGTGATGCACAAATAAAATAAGATTTATTTTGTTCACTTTTGCCCTTTTTTTTTTTAACGCTCAAACATTACAAAAGAGACGCTCAAACATTACAAAAAAATGAGGGAAAAAAAAAAAGGTTTAAATCCTATTCCTCCTCCTCCCTCCCAGAAATAGATATTCAGTGACAAACCGCCTCCGTTTTACCACTTCCCATCCGGCCCATGTACATAAACGGCTGGACGGGAGCAGTGCAGAAGCGGGTGGCCATTTTTAAATGTCCTCCCGCTTCCCTGCCTGTGCATGCTCCCTGGGAGTGTGCGGCATCACGATCCGGTACCCGGCCAATCAGTGATCACATGAATAGTAGTAAGCAAGATGTCACTTCTGACATCATTGCTTACTACTTGTGAAATCTGTGAATGATCACAGAGGTCACATGGTACAAGGCTATTCACAGCAGCCTTGTACCATGTGACAAGCTGTGACCAATCACAGCTCTCACAGTATTTTTCAATGGCTGCAAGAATGCAGCCAGAGAGAAGGAGAAATGATTGCTTTTACAGTCCTTATGGGTGTAAAAGCAATCAGTGTAAAAAAAAAAAAAAAAAAATCTTCATCACCCCCCACAAGTAGCACACTTGTACTGCTAGGGTGGCAGTATGTTAAAAAATAAATAAAAAAATTAATAAAAATGTCAACATTTTTTTTAAAGTTTTAATTTTTAGTTATAAACTAATTTGTTTTTTTTTTTTTTTTTACTAAAAAGATTGATGAATACATTTTGGCCAAGATATATGAAGAAAGATAATTTATTTGCAAAATTTTAAAAGAAAAACACTTTTTTTTTCAAAGTGTTTGGAGTTTTTCATTTATATTGCAAAAAAATAAAAATCCCAGTGGTGAATAAATACCACCAAAATAAAGCTTTATCTGTCTCAAAAAAAATGCATATGAGTACAGTGTTGTATGACCGCGCAATTGTCATTCAAAGTGTGATAGCACTGAAAGCTGAAAATTGGCCTGGACAGGAAGGGGGTGAAAGTGTCCGGACTTGAAGTGGTTAATAAACACGCAAACTTTGACTAAATACGACTTTGTAGCCCAGTAATCAGAGGATCTGACCACACTGCCCAGTGCAAACTGTAATCTAACGACCTGGTCTGGCACACTCTCTATTGGGACAGGCACGCACCCCCCCCCCTTCCTCTGCACTGAAAGTCTGTATGTATGACAAGTAGATTTCAAGGGATTATCTTTTGTCAAAGTGCCAGAAAGACGAGAGATGGAATTTTCCAGAACAACTTCATAAATAATAAAGTTGTCAAAATTGTCATTTGGGAAAAACTCCAAGAAAGCAATTTTGCTTTTTGTAAGGAGAACCCCACCACCATCACGGCTATAGTAAATATTAATGTGATGTGCTGGGGCTTAGACAAGACTTTTGTGTTACTTAATTGCAAAGAAAAATCAGGTCTCTCTCCCTGCCAGACAGAAAGCTGTGCTGTGTGGTGGAGCTGTGTAAATCTCAGGAATGGATGGACAGAAATGCAAATCATTTGGAAGTAAAACAGCTCTGTTAAATGTATTTTATTTGTGAATTTAGTTGTTTGCCAGGAGTTTGACTTTACAGAATATGTCAACCCAACATTTCATATTCATGGTACACTATATTGCCTAAAGTATTTGGCTGCTTGCCTTTACACACACATGAACTTTAATGCCCCGCCAGTCTTAGTCCGTAGGGTTCAATATTGAGTTGGCCCCGCCCTTTGCAGCTATAACAGCTTCAACTCTTCTGGGAAGGCCGTCCACAAGGTTTAGGAGGATGTCTATGGGAAGGTTTGACCATTCTTCCAGAAGTGCATTTGTGAGGTCAGGCACTGATGTCGGGGGAGGAGGCCTGGCTCACAGTCTCCGCTGTAATTCATCCCAAAGGTGTTCTATGGGGTTGAGGTCAGGGCTCTGTGCAGGCCAGTCATGTTCCTCCACCCAAACTCACTCATCCATGTCTTTATGGACCTTGCTTTGTGCACTGGTGCGCAGTCATGTTGGAACAGGAAGGGGCCATCCTCAAACTCTTCCCACAAATTTGGGAGCATTAAATTGTCCAAAATGTCTTGGTATGCCGACGCCTTAAGAGTTGGAACTAGTGGGCCAAGCCCAACCTCTGAAAAACAACCTCACACCATAATCCCCCCTCCACCAAACCTTACACTTGGCACAATGCAGTCAGGCAAGTACCGTTCTCCTTGCATACACCA